TTCAGGTGCTAGTGCAGACCCCGGGTGGGGTGGTACAGGCCACGGAGGACACAGACCGCCCATGACCAGAGTGGAGGGCATGGGGTCATGGAGACGGACGTCACCGAAGGCCAGTCCCAAACACCTTCCAACCTCCGATGCAAGAACTCACCTGGTGACCATGCAACAGGCACCCGGGACTCTCCCTGCCGGACCCAGACCTGACGGCCAAGCAGAGAAGGTGCCGAGGCCTGCCCTCCGGGTCCGGGCCAGCAGGGAAGCCCCCGAGTCTTTGGGCTCCAGTAACTGGGACTGTTTACCAATCGGGCATCTCACTGCCTTTTAAGGGCAAAAGTTAACTGTGCTGGAAACTAAGCAGCAAGCCTTGTTGTCAATAGAGATGCAAATGTCTTAACCCCCACTGGTGAGGTGGCTGGTCTCCTGTGAAATGCAAATGCCCTCGGCTGGGGATGGAACCTTAACCAGCTTTCTTCCTAATTTATCAATTTCATCCCAAGAGTTCCCTCCCGCCCCTCCCTTTCCACTGGCTGTGTGTGCAGGGCCGTGGCCTGCATTCCCGTGTGACTCCTCTGTCACCATCAGGTTCCCTGGTGAATGGATTCAAACACAAGTGCGACAGGTGCTCACTAGGTAACAGGTGTAGTGACACGGGTGCTGTCCACTGGGAAGTCGGCATCGCTAGGTATTCCCGCCCCCAAGAGGATGTATGGGGGCGAAAGGAAGGATTGCACCTCATCGCGTGCAGGCCTGGGAGCCGCGTGGCCGTGTTTGGCCGGACCAGAGTGTTCCCTTTTATCCAACCAGCGATTGTGACAGTCCCAACCTAACTGGTGTTTCTTTTTCTGAAGCCAGCTGTTGGGCCGCTCTGGCCAGTTTTTCTAGATCCCCAGCTGGAGACTTGTGCCTGGACCACGATGGAGGCTGGACAGCCACCGCCGGTTCCTGTGTGGGCTGCATTCCCTGGGGAAGCCTCCACCAGGCGGTTCCCTTTGGCTTCAGAGCGTCCAGTTCAGAACGCCCTGGATCGGAACAGTAGCAAGGGCAGCAGGTAAAAGTCCACACAGCGTTTAACAATTCCTGTCCTAGCGGTTTGGCTCAGTGGATAGAGCCTCAGACTGTGGACTGAAGGGTCCCAGCTTTGATTCCAGTCAAGGGCACGTGCCCGGGTTGTGGGCTCCATCCCCAGTGGGGGGGCATGCAGGAGGCAGCAGATCCATGATTCTCATCACTGATGTTTCTATCTCTCTCTCCCTCTCCCTTCTGCTCTGAAATCAATAAAAATATATTAGGAGGAGGAGGAGGAGGAGCAGGAGCAGGAGGAGGAAGGCCTGGTTAGGGGTGACCTATGGTGGCCTGGAGAGTAGGAGCTGGGGAGGGTCAGGGGAGGGAAGGCACCTGGGTGAGCAGACGGCAGGTGGCTGACTGCCCGGGCCAGCCGTCCGGCCCGTGGTCTCCACCATCTCCTGGGGGACCTTCCAGCCTGGTAGCCACTTGCCCCAGGGGTCGCCCAGCTGTCCTAGGTCTGAGCAACCATTTCCTCTCCCTCTGGCATCACACGCGGCAGGTGCGCTCCTGCCTCTGGCCTCCTGAACTGACCTCCTTCCCCTGAAAGCACCTCCGCACCAGGTGTCTCCCCTGTTAGCGAGCAGCTCTCACTGCAAATCGGAGCAGTGAGGCCGCCGGGAACCGCCTCCGCTCACTTCACTAACACACACAGCCACGAACTAGCCCCCGAGGGTGCCCGGAGGAGCGCGTCACACGGCGTGCACCGCACCAGGACGCCAGGTCACACGGCGTGCACCGCACCAGGACGCCAGGTCACACGGCGTGCACCGCACCAGGACGCCAGGTCACACGGCGTGCACCGCACCAGGACGCCAGGTCACACGGCGTGCACCGCACCAGGACGCCAGGTCACACGGCGTGCACCGCACCAGGACGCCAGGTCACACGGCGTGCACCGCACCAGGACGCCAGGTCACACGGCGTGCACCGCACCAGGACGCCAGGTCACACGGCGTGCACCGCACCAGGACGCCAGGTCACACGGCGTGCACCGCACCAGGACGCCAGGTCACACGGCGTGCACCGCACCAGGACGCCACGGCAAGGCAAGCTCGGGGGACTCCAGTGAAGCTTTAGGCTCAAGCTGAGCAGGGAAGCGATTGTGAAAGGTTCCCCGGTGGTGTCAGCAAGTCATATGGAAAGCACCTGGGCTTCCTATGGGCTGTACCGAATGAAAGTTTGAAAACAGGTCCTAGATTTCCCCTCCCAGGGCCTCGTCCCTGTCCCGTTACTGTTTCTTCCGAGTCTGTAAGAAAGCGAGTCTGAGCGCCCCTCAGTGACCGTACAGCAGTTCAGAAGTGGATGCCAACTCATCAATCTTAAAGAAGTTTGCTAGGCTGGGGGCAGAACAGAATTCTCATTTAGTCTGTTTGTGGCAATATTTTGCAGTCACTTTAGGGTGTAGGAAATTCGTCGCTTTTAGCATGTGAGAAGCCACAGTTAAAGTACTAACCGTTTTCCAATTGTCCGCCTGCTGCATTTGTTCGTGAGACAGTAAGTGGTCCGTGGCAGGAGGTCTCCTCATTCAGGAAGAGAATTCGGAGAGGATGAGCTGGTCACCACCCATTTCCCTGAGGATTCATGCTTGAGTTGTAAGTCATGTTTCAGAATTTAAAAGGAGCAGGAGAGAGCTTGTGGTCAAGCCATGGGTGTTGGGAAATGCAGGACTCAGATCTTCCCACAACCAGGTCAAAATGACACCTGGGCACAGAACCACCCTCATTCAGAACCACCTGGATTCTAGCTGAATAGGGATTTAAAGAAGAAGCCACATAGAGACTGGTAGGAGAGGCCGAGACGCTGAAAGGGCTGGTCCCACGCCCACGTGAGGCAGATAAAAATCGAGAGCCCAGCCGGCGTGGCTCAGTGGTTGAGCGTTGACCTATTGACCAGGAGGTCATGGTTGGATTTCTGGTCAAGGCACAGGCCCGGGTTACAGGCTCCATCCCCAGTGTGGGGCGTGCAGGAGGCAGCCGATCAATGATTCTCTCTCTCCTCATTGATGCTTCTCTCTCTCTCTCCCTCTCCCTTCCTCTCTGTAATTAGTAAAAGTATAGTTTTAAAAAAATCAGGAGGCTATCTTGGCTGTGGAGGTGTCCCCCGACCCCCAGGCCCCCCAGCCCAGGGTCCCAGTGCCAGGAAGAAAATTCCCCATAAATTCTGGCTATAAAACACCAGCAAGGATATGGCTGAGTGACATGGAGGCTGCTGGAGTCCCAGGTAGTTCCTCTTAAAGGGCCCAGGCACGGACTTACTCAGATTCAGTCCCTCGGAGCTCCAGCACTGGGGCAGCAGCTGGACAGCACCAGGGCCATTGGGGAGGAACTGAATGGATTAAGTGCTCCAATCCAAGGACATACGGTAGCTGAATAGGTAACAAGGCCCTCACCTACGCTGTCCACAAGAGACTGACTGCAGAGCCAAAGACGCGCACAGACTGAAAGGCAAGGGGCGGACAAAGAGTTTTCATAAAAATGAAAACAAACCAAAAGCGGGGGTAGCGATGCTTATACCAGACAAAATAGACATGAGAACAAAGGTTGCAGGAAGAGCTCAGCAAACATTGGCTGAATACACTGGGCTCTCTCTTTTGACCCCGCCCCACCAGCCCAGGCGGCTACTAGCAAACGCCAGGAGGCAGCCAGCTCGGCCACCCGCCCGTCCCCATCCCCGGTCATCGGGGGAAATAAGAGTCCAGGTTCCATCCCCTGAGCAGAATCTCTTTTATTAAAAAGACGATCTGTCATCACCCAGTTCCCTGGAACGGGAATGCCCTCACTCATCCTGGGAGCTTACAAAGAGGTGGGAGGCAGCGGGACCTTCCTGGGACCATGACCTCGCTCTGGGGACAAAGCACCTTGGTAAGAGAATCGGCACAGGGTTGTCCTCATGCCAGCCTCCCCCCCCTTTGCCCCTTTAAAGCGGAAGGACTGGGCCGTGAAATGAGTCCCTGTGGCCGCTAGTCCCAGGCCCCTTGCCCGGCGGGGGTTCCCATCCCGGCGGCAGGGCTGGCCCT